AGTCATGCACAAGGGTTTTTTCAGTGGAAATTTATCATGCGTATGGCACCGAGGGTACTACAATGCTGCAATGCATTTTTATAGTATGAAAGCATTAAGAAATCCCCTGCGAAATGTGCAAAGCTAAATATCCATTCACCTTTCTTTCTTCTTGCTTTTGAAAAGGGGCAAATCCGAAGCACATGCGTCCAAATCATTTGGCAGGCCTGAGCCCTACTGAGATCAGAAAGTGTGCTTTGCCAAGTAACCATAATACGCCGCCAAACTGCTCTCTTACCTGATTATTCGGAGAAGAAGGGGCTTCTCTGAGAAGGCCAAAGCAGCCATACCGTGTGATGCAAAAGGCCAGTGTCATTTTGCTCAGGCTTACCCGCAGAGGGGTGTGGGGATGTTGGCTTTGTGATTGCTCCAGCTGACCTGAAATACCATGGCAGCCTCAAAGGGCGATGCCAGCTTGCATCTCTATTGCTAGGAATTACAAGCCAAAAAGTTCATTAGGGGTATGCTAAAAAAGCAAGAATGCCACGAGCTCTCTGCCTGTCTCAACTGAGATCAGATGCTCTTGGGGCAGTGGCTGCCACGTTTCCCCTTTGACTTACCAACCTGCGAATCTAATCTACGCTGTCCCGTGCTACGTCCTGCTGGCGACAGCAGTTAATTAGGACCGTGTATGTCCTGTTTTTGAAACTTTTCAGTTTGTACACTATGTTTCATTGTTGGCTGTTTTGGAACTCTACTTTTTTGGCTTCATGCTTTTCTCCAATTTCTCCACTGTTATAAAGGAATTGGCTATTTTAAGTAACCCTTGCAAAACATCTTGGCGTTTACTGCAAAGCAAGAGATTAGCTAGTACTTGATTCTTTTAGGGCGCTCTGTTTGGTATCGAGATTTGCATCATGAGAAGGAAAACTTACTCTGATCTTGTCAGGCACAAACTGCTGTTAGAGGTCACAGTGGCATTTCAGAGGTGCTCTAGTTTTTCTTCTGACCTTGTAGATGAAGCATGAAGTCTTTTTTATTTAAAAAACAAAAACGAGCAGAAACGCTCTTCTAAGCTTTCTCCCTGAACCTCCCAGTAAATGAAAGCAAGTAAAGAGTGTCTTGAGGAATGATGACGTTAACGAACATGTTGTGTATTGTTACCAGGTACTGGGAATTTATTGTAAATATGGTGTTCTGTAGGTTTAGCTTTTGACTATTTGTGAATGTTTATAGGTCTCCAATTACTATGCATTTGTTTGAAAACTCAGTACTGAAGTGATAGGAGAACATCTTGTGGGCTTATTTGTCTGTGTACAAAATACAAATTCTTTTTGGCGCAAGCGGCATCGTTTGGTTACTCGCTGTATGAGTTCTGGCCAATATTTTAACGTTTGTGCCTCTAACCCCACTGTTAAAATATATGAAAAATTTAAGTGAGGCAGAAACAGTACTGGGATATGCTAATAAGGCTAGCAAATTGTGACTCTGATTAGATGCTTCAGAGTAGCAAAAGACCCGAGTGTGCTGGTGAGGAGAGATGCTGGTTCCAGAGCCGTGGTGTGGAGGTTCAGGAGGTCCTTTCAGCTGCAGTTTCTTATCATTGGAAGTATTGAAAGTATCAACTTGTTGTGACCATGAAAGAGAAAGAATACCAACATAATTTGCAATTCAAAGTAAATCCGTATGTTTGATTTGATGAAAAATCAACATCACTAAATAGTTTTATATTTAATTACATAAACTAGCAACAACACTTGTAATAATTATGGATCCAGATTCAGATTGCTTGCTAGATATTTTCTGAAAAAAATTAGCTAAATGTGTGTGTGTGTGTGTGTGTGTGTATATATATATATATACACACACACATATATACGCAAGCATACTTACACACACATGTATTGTATATCTGTGCCTGCATATACATGTACATATACATACATGTATACACACACATGCACATAAAGAGATATATATATATACAAACACACTTTTAAAGCTCATCGGTTCTTAAAAGGGTTAAGTAGTTTTAAAATTACCTCAACCCACTGCTTAAACATTGTTGCCTTAATTAATAGCTGCTAACATATGAAGGGCTTGTCTTGGCTCTCAGATTGGAAAAAAAAAATGCAGCGTGTCACAGAGCTCCATGTACACTGCTTCTTGTCTACTGCCATTAAAATTAATCATTATGGCTAAAACCTGAAAGGTTTGTTATTTCCGGTACAAGTGGGCAGATCAGCAACTGTAATTTCTTACACATAGATTATCCCCACATAGTGTATCACCTGTGACTTTTTCTAAAGTTTTTTGCTTTTTGGTTCTTGCTTTTTTTTTTTTTTTGGACAAGCGAGTGGCTATCGATACCTGTAAGGGATGGATTTAGCATTTCTGAATGCAGCTTGCAATGAACAAATACGGGATGGAACTTCTAACAGCTACTTATTAATTTCACTTAAGCAGAGTGAAAGCTAGTCCTTTCCAAACGACGAGTTAAAAGTATTTTGGAGGACTGCCATTATACCTGAGCCAATATGCAAACTAGTGTTTTTATAATCCATTTTCCTATGCTAAAAAAGTTTGTCTCTTTTGCTACTGGAGAGACTGCATAAACTTGGAGTGCAGGTTGGGGAATTACTTCCCACATCGCTCCAATTTCAATATTTTAAGCAATTAAAAACAACATTTTTCTTACCCGTTTTTTTGCTATTGTCCTCTAATACATAGGGGCATTGTAACACACTGCTTTATTTTTACAGTATCCATATAACCAATAAATATTTTTTGGCTTCTAAATTTGATGAATTAACTTCTCTTTACAAATACTGGTGTTGCTTATATTTGAGGTTCTCATTCCCAAATCTGATGTGTATGCAAACCCAAACCCGATAGCACACTGCAATCAGCTCATGCATTGGCCAAGTCAAACAGCAGCCAGGCAAAATGTCTAACGTGGAACTCATAATCAGTTAAATGTTATATCATTTAAAAACCAGTGATCTGCAACTGTTCAAGTTTTGCATCGACTTTGTTGCCTGTAGCAGCAGGGACCATGATTCTTAACTGAGGAGGTCTTTTTGGTATCGTCTTGGGTAGCGTAGAGGAGAGCAAGGGTGATAGTGGGTGAACCTTTGGGAGGACAGTGTTGCTCACCTGGCAGGTAATGATCTACTCTGATGTAAAATCTGCCTTACCACGTTTCTTAAGTTACAACAAAATCAACCTTGTCACATATGGAAGAGTGAACGTAATGAGCGGTGTGTAGTGCCTGGCTTGTGATCTCCAGTCGCTGTGGTGGCAGATGGTTGCAAACTCCTGTAATTGCCGTTGTGCTGGCTGAGGAAGCACAGGGAGGGCACATGGACTTCTGCAGACAGAGGGGAGTCTAGGGCAGAGGAACGGCTACCCCGAAATTTGAAAAGCAGTGCTGACCTGAAATTAGACGATGACATTTAGCCTTTGCTGGAACTCACAGGAAGGTGTTTGTTCCCTCACAGGCCGCTTTTTTGCAGCAGCAGCTCTGCTATGGCAATGTGAAACCTTTTCTGCACACAGTTAACATGAAGCGGGACAGGAGCGGAGGAGACACCAAAGTCCATAACGTAATCTTCGCTGCGTGAGAGGTGCATAATTCCACCTCGACTCGTATTCTTCCTCAGCTCCTCGTCGTGCGAGTGGGGCAGGTTGCGTGTCACCCGCCCACTCTTCGCTGTGCTCTTCCCTGTACACAGCCCCACGGCATGCTATTGTTAGGTGTGAACACTAATTGCTGGTGTTTCAAGGCTCCTATCTTCTTATTGCTAAAGCCTGTAACAATAATCACAGCCTATATTCCCCATCCTTAGGCATCAAGGAAACAAGATATGTTCATAGGCAACCTGCCAATGTAATTGTAGTATATCGAATGGGAGCCTTTTCTGTGTAAACACAGGCCTGGCCACATCCTATGATAGCTCTTCCTACACCCCATACGATGGCTGTTCCCAGGCTCACAGCGCAAGTCCCCATTATGTATGTATCTACCCTTGTCATAACACCACCTCTGAAACACTCACACCGTTTGGTCCTTCTGCATAATGTTAAGAGGGTGGAATTTTAAATTGAAAAAGGCTGTTTAAGTAATGTCAGCAGCCTGACTAATTTCACAAAAGGAAGGAAATTCAAAGTTAAGGCTATGGTATATTCTTATCTAGATGCCTGAAGATTTCTGTGCATGACAATATGCCTCTAAAATTCAGAGCTGTCCCTTATGTCTTTAATTTCTCCCATTGTCTCTCTCCTTTTTTTTATTAAACATCAAAGTGAATTCACAACAGAGAGTCAGCCTAGAATTTAATCCTCTAAATACCTTGAAAATAGAGGTTGAGACTAGAAGTACCAATATATACCCTTAAAACTTCAGTGTAATATAAAAGAGATTCTAATCACAACAGATCATTACAAAGAAGAGTAAACCACTTTAAAAAATTGAGTGTCTTAAATATAATAAAAAGGAATAATTAAGAATCAAACAGGAAGCTGCTATTCTGACAATTTAATGATGCTGAATTGGACTGAAAGAATTGGCTTTGCTATTAGAAAGCAATGGAAATCTGATAATTTCAAGATGGCACTAGAATAAGATCAAGAGTATTTTACAAAATCATATGAAACAGAACCAGAAGGGAATGGTAGAACTTGCCTCAGAAAAGCCTTGGAGTGTTTTGAATTCTCACTGCTGCTTAAGGCTGGAGCTGTTGGGTGGTTTTTTTTTTTTTTCAGATCTACTTAAAGTCTTTTAGACTAGGGTCTTCCTTGGAATTCATTACTGTGTGGCCCCTGTGGAAAGCAATGTGGCAGCCCTATTTGCCAAATGGAGTTAATAAAACATTGATGGTATTTCATTTTTATTTTTTCTTTTTTAAAAAAAATTGGATTTACATAACAATATGCAGGGCATTATACAGCTGATTATACTAGAAGTTTTCAAGTGTGCACAGCACATCGGTAAATGAAAGCAGAAGATGTACTTTGGGATGTTTTTTTTTTTTAAGATGTATACAAGCACATAGCTATGCATCCAAACATTGTAAAAATAAGCAAGCTAATCATACAAAATATTTGCACAACTGTGTACCCAATGTGCAGGTGTGCTTACCATGACTGCTTGTGCATACAGTCATTTATTTGCCCTTATCTAATTTTCTGACCATTTGACTTATGACTACGTATAGGTAAGTGCATAGTTACAAGCATTTCGTAGACTGCACCATTAGATTTTTAGTTACTGGGTGGATAGGTTTGACATTTTCTACCTGGGAATCTTAGGAACCAAAATTGCCAAATTGCTGTGATGTGTATCAGCATGGAGAAAGATGTGATTAATAACAGTCTGTTTGTATGTATGTATACTGTAAAAATCGATACAAGAAGGTAAGATAAAATTATCTGTAACAAGAAATCATCAATACAGTGAGAAATTACTTATTTTGGGCATCAACAGCATGCAGGTGGAACAACACAGTCAAAGTCTTAAAGCGCTTGAGCAATTATAAACAATAAAGAATAATTAGTACTTGTTTTCTGTCCATGCCTATACCAGGTTCTCCCGAAGCTTCAGTGAAATTCTCTCTCCATGTTTCTTTCCTCTACGTTATTCTGTATGAGTGCTGAGTTTTATACTTGCTACAGAAAGCAGTGTTTTGTGTGTGCCGATACTGCTTCTCCCACAGGTTTCTTAATTAAGTACATGATCACGATACATTCAAAAATTATTGACTAAAATCTCAGCTATTATAAATTGGGATAGGTCCTTCTAAATCCATGGCCCATAGCTCAGGGTATTGCAAGATGTAGATAACTCACCCGACGGATCTTGCCACCTATAAAACCGTATGCCAAAAATAAAAATGTGGAAGTCTCAATTTAGTTTCCTTTATCCGTGACAGTATAGTCTGAAGCCAGGAGCACAACCTGGCTTCCCACTGTTGGTATTTGCTGCCATCCTGTGGTTCACAGGACTCACTTCATTACTGCACACTGTGCAGATACCTCCTCTTGCTGTGAAGAATTAATGACATCTACAAAGGTCGCAGAAAATAAACTTGGCTGCTTTTCACGCTGAGCAAAGATGTTGAGTGTTTTTGTGCAAGAGACCTTGTAGCCTGTTACAACTGTTACCAGTTTTGATGTGATTTTTGCTTGATGAATCTCAGAGACAAGTAGTATAAAATCAGAAAACTAATAATAATACCAGCGAGGATGAGAAAGCTCACATAGAGAGGTTGCGAATCCAGGTCCAGAGACTGAGTTACCTGTAACCACAGACGACACAAAATTAGGAACTGGCAAAATTTTCACACTGGATCTGTGAAGTGTGTGCACTTCCTAGAGCCTGCCTTCTTTTCCAGCTGGACATAACTATTATGTAAGATGTTATTGTAGTCTGGCAGTCAATTACAGCTGTTCTGCTTCTAGAGATGGCGGTATTTCAGAGGTATGTAATTCAGCTTCCAAACAATTTCAGCGAGCACGTAGTTGGGATTTATATGGGAAACAGTTGCTCTTTTAAAATATTTCTTTTGTTCTTTTTTTTTTCCCTCGCAGTTCACCAAAGAGAAAGGCATAAAAGGACTAACTGCTGTAGGGACATTTGAACAGAAACCTGCTTGAAGCAGAGTTTGTTAGCAGCTATAGCTGCAAAACATCAGGAGATTCAACTGCTGTACCAGTGAATCTTGAAATCTTTGTGTTAGTGGAGCTTGTGGTCAGAGTCCTTTCAACAGGCTTTGCAAAGCAGCCCTGGGGCAGCAGGTGCAGGCAAGAGGCAGCTGCCCATGGCTGCGCTCCCCACAGCCCTGCATTCATCCACCACAATTCGGGAAGCTGCATAAAGTGACCTAACATTGCCCTTTGCTATGGGACACACAGGTGGCAGCCCAGAGCCACCAAAATACAGTAAGGTGGTTTCCACGGGCAGCGTGCTCACACCTAGCTAACTCTGAGTGGGAGCCAAATGCATCTCTGTCCCTGTGCAGCTGGGCCCGGAGCACTGCAGAAGCCAGGGAGGCACTTCCCAGTCTCCTTCCCTCCTCTGAGAATGCTGGTGTAGGAATAACCCAATCAAGTTTCATCAAAGTTTGGGCTTTTCGCTTCCCTTCTGCTTATTTGGGATCAAACAGGGGGCTAGGAGAGGGAGCAGCATGCATAACTGCTGCCAAAGCTCGCTCATATCAGGGCTGAGGCATCAGCCAACTATCGACAGTCAAATAGCACCAAGCTTCAGGCAGCAAAGCACCAGTTTAAAATACATCAAGTGCAATGTGACTTTGCTTATTGACTAGTGGCTGGCTGAATCTGTGGCCTGCAGCACCTACTTAAACATGAGAGGCATGTAAATAGCATTCTAATTAACTAAGAACTATAACAATTTTTACTGCAGAGCAACTTACTAGTTTTCCTGGTATTTGAAGGGTAATGTTTCCAAGGGTCAACTGGTATGTGGGTTCATTAAAATGAATTTGCATCAGGCCTTGAAAATTCCATCTAAGAAAAGATATTTTAGAAATCCAGAATGGAACTGGAAAAAAGATGGCAGAAAGAAAGAAATTGGTATAAAGACACAAAAGTTACTTGCACCTCAAAAATAGCTGTCTTGCTGCCAAATGCAGTAGGCTTCTCTAATTTCTTGATATCCAGAGGCTGTAGACAAATAGCAGTTTATTATTGGACAAAAGGGCAGATCTATTATTATGTGGTAATGGAAAATTAGGTTAATAGCTATATCTATCAGTCTCCTACTGTTAACTAAGCCTCATCGGAGTTTCAGATTTATTTACTGAATATAATTCTTATTATTGGAAAAATGTAGGGACGAATCCAGCCTTTTACTAGTGCTTTTTTTTTTTTTAACTAAACCCACCATCGTTACCTCATTTTCAGATAAAGAAACTGATGCCAAAGGAATAATGCGACTCCGCTATCACCATGCAAGAGGACAATTACAGCAGTAGGAATAAAGCAGTTTTCCTGCACGGCACTTGCTCAGCCTCCTAATTGCCAACCACTGATGTAAATGACCAGTGTTTCAGTTCTGATGCTGTCCTACCTGTCCAGAGGTTTTCCAAGCTCATCACAAAACCACCGCTCAGGTAGAAGGACGTGAAAAGGACATTGCTGAAGAAGGCTGACAGCTGCAAGGTGGGCAGCAGTGCTGCCATCCAGAGCGCCATGGTGCGGGCACAGTAAACAGCCAGCCACACAGAGAGGAAGCTCAAAAGGAAATGTTCTGGTTCACAGCTGAGGTTTGCCAGCCAGTAGATGGGAATTCCATAAATGATAACAAAAGCGCAGTGCTCTGGGAGCTCCCCCAAAATCTGTTCGGTGGGCGGGGGGGGGAGGGGGGGGAAGAGAGAAAAATAAGTTGAATGACAAGCGCAAAACTTTCTGAGATGCACCTTATTGTACTTACGGACTGTTTAAAAGAAGCCTGCAGGAAATACTCCTTTAAAATGCAATCATCTCCTTTTTAAGTGTTATCAGTGACATTAAAAAAAAAAAATCCCCAACAGAAATGGAAATCCTCACTAATTTGTTCTCTGGTTGTGACAATTCCTGTAACTAATTGTTAAGCTGATAGGCTTCTTGTGAAGGAACAGATGTTTGTTACAGTTTTGTCAGTTTCTAAGAATTTAAGACACTTTCCCTAAAAATTGGTAGGCTTGACAGTAGTAATACTGTTACTGACTCATTGTAATTGTATGTTTTGTCCAAATTTTAGTTGAATCTAGTTTGAATTCAAGTTTGAGATAAACTATGATTACTGTTGATCCCTTCCTTACTTGGTCCCAAGGGCAGCCCAGTTGGTTAACTACTTAATTCACTGTAAAACAAAAACATGCTTAGGATACTCTCAAACATATAAAAGGCAAATATAGTATTATAATTTTTTTCCTAAAACTCTTGCTACTATCATCTGATACTAAGGTCGTAACAAACTACATTGATTTTTCTATGAATAACGTGCAATCTTTGTGACAGAATGCAAAGAATATTTTTCTCTGGCAACCACTAATAAGCATTTAAAATCCTTTGCAGAAATGGAAACCTAAATTACAGATGCCATGGCAAGCAGAACTCATCTCACAGTGGCAAAATCACAAAGAAAGGATTATTTTAAACCCTTATCAGAAGGAGAATGTAATTAAAAAAAAAAAAAAAAACCTCTGTAATTTATTTCCAGAAATTCTGGCACTTTATACACTTAATACAATTGTTTTTTCTGACTAGTACAGAGACAAACAACTATTGGAAATGTTACAGTTAGCATCTTGCTATTTCTGTTTTACAATTGCTGTCGCATTTAGTATGAACTTTCTGTGTTATAGATCAAGTCACATTATCAAACTTTCAAAGATACTTCAGCTAATGAAACATGCAAGTATGTACAACTGTCTAAACCCCTGAATTTGTCCTGCAGAATCCCCAGATTTTGGCCAAATGACCCAGGTGAAGGTTCTTCTACAGCTTTTTTTGGCCTGGGATCTGAGCTGCGATTTATGGCAACAGGTCTGGAGTAATTTGAGGTTTAATCAGTTAATGCCAGGGAAGCATGAACGACAGCCTTAGATGGCAGATGCAAAAGAACAAAGTGTGATATGACTGGGATCGTTCATATAAAAAAGTTTTGGTTTTTTTTTCCACGTTAGAGCCAGCTGTGTGTGTTTCCTGGCAGCAAAACCAATTACCTTAGCAAAGAAGTATGGACTCACAGAATACATTCCATCCTCCAAGTCATGATAAAGCATTGCTCTTTCCGAATGACCTGCAGCAGAGAAACAATCCTAAAGCTGCCTTCTATACATATAATTTTTTCACTGATTTTTCAAATTACTTTCTAGTTTTGATTGCTTATAACATTTACAAAAAACTGACACTTACATTTGGCAATAACATCCAAAATCACTGTGAATGGGGTTAATGCACCTATCATGTACAACAGTGCTGTTGTGTCACGAATAGAGAGTCTGCTTTCTTCATGGCCATAGTACAAAAATCCAATTAATAATGACATGAGAAGAGCCTCAAATCCATGGATTAATAATGTTGGAAGATCTCTGAAGTCATTGGAGACTTGGCGACTAGGAAAATAGCAACATTGACCATAAGGTATAGTACTTATTAATGCCAGATATATTTAGATATGTTGCCCCAAATGCTCTTCTAACATTCATCTGTGAAACCTGCTGTCTTTGAGGAGGACCGGAATTCGGATGTTGGGTCCTGTAAATGCTTTTATCTAATCAAAGCTATTGAGTACCTATAGCCACCTAGTATTTTAGAGCTGAAATGCTAAAAGCTTGGTGGAAGGCAGTGGGGCAGGAAGGTCTGTTTTCTATCTCAGAGGTGCAGAACCGATTACTTAACTTACAGAAGTCTCTCTGTTAAGGGCCTATAGCATCTAACAGCCTAATACCATCTAATACTGGCAGTGATATGCTACATGTATTGAGCTGGTTGGTTATAATATCTATATATTTTTGAGAACACGTGCAACAAACCCAACTTCCATACTGGCTCTAATCAGCAAAGCATCCTGGCTTCAAATCTTAGCTCCAGATTGAGGGTGGCAGGGCCTGAGCCTCTTGCTTGGCTCTCTGGGTTTGCTGAGGGCTGGGTTGCCTTGCTTCAAGGCACAGAGATCAGAATGGCAGCACCCAAAACTGGGAAAAATATTCCTGACTTACTTCCATGGCCTGATGCCACAGGCTGTCAGCGATGTGAGCAGAAGGTGGCCGGGACTGGGGCAGAAATGGGGCCGTACATCTGTCAGGGGCTGCTTGGGTGGCTGGGGAGACCTGGCACAGCAATGCCTCCCCTTCCAGGCTCACTCCATCCTATCACTCCCTCTCCAAACTATCAGAGCGTGCTCAACTCGCTCTTTGGGCTTCTTCCTTAATACTTTAAAATACAAATGAACATGATGCATAATTGTTTATGCTGGAGATACGGTTACCTTAATAATACTGTGAGCTGCTTTAGGAATCCTGGTAACTGATCATCCGAATGGGAAGGTATGTTAACAGACTCTTCTGAATTTACATGGGAGCTGCCCAAAAGAAAAGATTTAAAAAAAAAAATTGAAACGAGCTCAAGCTGTGGCAGTTATTCCACATTTGTCATATGATGGATATATGTTCTTTATTTTCTTTACCTTTGTTTGCTGGATGTGGTCACACTATCGTCTCCTTGATTAACTTTCCATAAGAAATTATCAAAGTCTTTGACTTTCTCTAGGAACAAGTTGGCAAGAGCATTTGCTCTTCTTTGGCTTTCCATCTCCTTTTCTGTGTTCTGTTTATCAATACTGGTCAAATCAACTGCAAGACATTATTTGGCATGAGTTCATGCTCCAGATGTGATAACTTAATCACATTGTGTCTAGAAGCAGAGAGTTTATCATGAACTGACAGTACAACCCATGGGTATGCATTAAGCTACAACGGTTATTCTTAAAACTTTTTCAATTACTTCAGGTAATTAGAGAAGAACTCCTTGTTAAAGGTGTATTTTTTTTCCTTGAGAAATGTGTGTAAATAAGTGCTACTTAGTTATTTGATGAACCATTGACAAGTTTCATAAGTGCTCATTATAAGACTAAAAAATACTATTTCAGATTTTTGTCTAATTTTAATAGTGGCTTGAGATAGATGCTGGGAATGAACAATTCAAATTCCTTTCCTAGCCCTATAGGCATTTACAATCTATTATGTGAATTTGACTTATATGGTATGATTTTTCTCTATCTGTAAAAAGATAGTTATCATCTCCTTTTGTATCATGCAGAGGTACCATAAACTTTACCTGAAATTGAGAAAGCCTAAGAAAAACACTATCCAAGGACAATATACTAGCAGCAGTAATAGTACACTTATCATTATTATTTTTTATTTAATGAAAGTAATGATTTTTAACCTAATCCCAGAATAGGGTCCCCATTTCCACTTTCCTGCCACCTGTACTTTCTGCCCTTCCTTGGCCAGTGGCTCGGCATGTGTGTGGCTCTGCATGTGCCTCACCATGACTTCCCTCCCTCCTGCAGTGGGAGAGAAATCAGAAAGGAGGCAAATACCCTAAATACTCCATTGCCATGCGGGGGTGCTGCAAGTCCACATCGCAGCTGCGCTTGGCTGAGTGGTGCCAAAGGTGTCCTTGCAGGGATTGACATCCAGGTTTATTTCTGTTTATCTCTGCACAGCTAAGAGCTGCACCTAAGAGATAAGCACAGCCCAAAAGGTTACTCTAGAGCACTGCACTCAAGTGTCTGCGCAAGGTTTCCTAGCCAACTCTAGTGCAAAGACCTGCAGGTTGGAGCTGAACCAACCTCTGTGGTAAGAGACTGCTGCCATCAGATTAAGAGGGCCAAATTCCCTTCAGAATTCCCTGCTGCAAAAAGCAGTTAGAGAAGGAATGGATTTGGAACCACGTAACTAAATTTCTTTGCGAAGAGGAATGAAACAGTGGCTGTTCTGGTTTTATTTTTTTCTCCTTTCCAATATGCTTGGTTAGGCAGCATTTTTGTTTCCCAGGTACGTGTTATTCCTCACCCTGGGAGGCTAGCTTCCCACACTTCTTGAATGAGAAATCAGAGAACAACTGTTCTCAGAAAGCAATCTGTCAGCTCATCCCTTCCTTTTTCAGTGAGGGTAAAAATTCCAACCAACTAAAACATGGCATTAAGAGTACTAAGCATGTGGGAGAGTTATTACACCTGGTAGGAATGGAAAGAGAATTATTAAAAATTTATTTTGTCCATATCTCTTGATTTTGTTACATTTCCTGTACTGACTTATAAGCAAGGATCTTATTAAAAAGTGAACCTGGTGAACAGTATTGATTCAAGTCATTCAAATTGTAAAGCATTTCTAAGATAGTTATGGTCAATAAAATAAATTAATGTGTTAGTTGATACACTTATGAAAGCAAATGACTTCCAGTAACCTTTTTTTTATGGCACTGTTTGATACTAACCATAGAAATCTGCAGGATTGCTGTACTTCGGGCAGGGATAGCCTAGTTCTGTGAAATACTGGACCATGTCTCTAGCCATTCCCGAATAGACAGTGACTCCAGAAGTCAGCAGAAGAACTAAATCAAAAAGTTGGAAGATATCTGACCGGGGCTGATGAACTGAAAGAAGAACTAATCTGTTTCCTCTGGCCAGCCTGGATAATGTTATCACAAGGTTATGTGCAGTAAAACTGTCCAGTCCAGATGTGGGTTCATCAAGTAGCAGTATTCCTGCCAAAGACAAAACGTTTAGCTGTGTAAAGCAGTATATTTGATCTGGAATATATGTTCCAAGTGAAACGGTGCTAGTGCGTGTAATCTCACTCGTATATTCATTACAAAAAAAAAGTCAAAACTATATTTCACACTAGCATCAGATAATATTAAACAATGGCCATATTTCTTTCTTATCTTATTGAACATAATGACAGAGAATAATAACTTTAAATCTTGTCTCGCTCCCGCTCGGAACCAAATACTGGCTTTGATTTTCATTGGGAAGTAAATTCAGGTTCCTTATTAAATTTGTGTCCTTCTCCGTGGTTTTTCTGTTGAATGTGACTGAGCACTGGAGCAGGTTGCCCGGAGGGGTGGTAGAATCTCCTTCCTTAGAGATATCCAAAAGCTGTCTGGACAGGGTCCTGGGCAACCTGCTCCAGGTGACCCTGCTTGAGCAGGAGGGTTAGACTAGATGATTTCTAAAGGTCCCTTCCAACCTCAACCGTTCTGTGTTTCTGTGATTTTTGCACTTTGCCTGTACAAATATCTGGTACATGAATATACAGGCGTATTAGTTTTGTATACAGCCTACTGAAATATTTTAGATTATATGCTCTATATTTAGACCTCATGCATTATTCATGTGTAAATATTTACATGGTGTTAAATTAGATAGCTCCTCCTCCCAAACTATGCTTTATTTCACACCTACTCACACTTGTAGCTGAAGAGATATGTATACGTGTTCGGACGTTTTTTGTTTTGCAATTGGTTGTTTAAAAACTTGAAAGTGATTTAATACCTTGCAACATGTGTATTATTATAGAACTCAGTAGCCTCCAATCAGTGGAGGGCAATGTCTGTACACAGACATGGTTTTTGTGCTGAGAGATATAACATGTTTGAAATGCAAAGAAAGCTTTACTTATTTTTCCTAGAACTAATCATTTTTTTGACTTCAGTAGCAGCCCATCTATCTATGAGTATCATTTATTACAAAAAAAAGACTTCTGCTTTCCCCATAATAACAAAAATACAACTTTGCATAAGCAAAGACTTCTTGGATCCTTCTCCCAGTGGAGGGAGAACAGCTGGAAAATCTCCCTGAACAAGTAAGCGGCTCAGCTGAGACTATTGACTTACATACAGCTGCTGATGTATGTAAGAACAAATGGGGCACTCAGTTCTGCAAAAGTAACTGCCAGGTTTAGCCTTGCATTTTGCTTCTACTGAAGATGATGGAAATTTTTAGCATGCTTGTGATGTGAGATGGTCATGTCAGTGATTTGCATAAGACAACAACGAATGACCATGTAGCCAAGACAATGACCTTCCCTGTTAACATCTCACGTGTAAATAGACAGTATGGGGGAGTAAGGAAAACAATCCAGAGGTCTTACTAAGCCAAAAACCTTACAAAGCAAATTGTGGCAAAGGGTCAAGTAAAAACCAAACCTCATACTGAGATGCATAGGCTGGAGCCCCTCAGTGTGAGGGGGGCTCCAGACACATTTCCGTGGTTTCTGTGACAGCTGTTTTGGGTGGGAGTGGGGGATGGCTCCCAGACAGAGGCGGCCTGCCCAGCTCAGATGCTGCGGCTCCGGTGGCAAAGTCAAGCGCGCGCTGGCTCCTGAACTGCTCAGTTCACAATATTATTACTGTCACCAGCACCAATTTTGGTTTAGACTAATGGACCAGCACCCCGTGACTGTTCCTGACTTTGTCCTCTTGTGGCCCCGTGTCTCTGACACCTGCAGGTGCAGAGGCTGCTGCAGGATGCAAGGAGGGCGCTGGAATTGTGCTCACCCGGGTTCCAGAGCAGCTGCACGCCAATGCTCACTCGCCGCCTCTCTCCTCCCGAAATGCCGCGGAGGTACTGGTTCCCAACCCGCGTGTTTGCGCACTGACGCAGCCGAAGTTCAGCTATAACATCTTCTACCTGGGGGAATCAAATGGTAAGAGTGATAAAGCAGGAGTTTGCCATTTGGACACTTGTGCATAGATAAAGCTGAAAATACGGTCAATACGATTAAAATTCAGCAGAATATTACCCTGCTATCTGATCAAGAGCTCCTTGAAAACAAATCTTAGAGATAATGTTGAAAACTCCCTAGCAATCAGCGATTTAGTTCTTCTTTCAGCCTCTCTAATGCTTTCTGTAGATTGTCATTTTTTTATGAGGTTTGGAACAATTGCTGGTTTCTGTCTTAAAAGAAGAAAAAGGGTTATAATTCATAATCTACATAAAAAAATGCCAGATTAGCTGTTCTGACTCCAAACACACAGGATCTCTTGGATAATTCCTGTCAGACACATTTTTGACAACTTTATTTTTTCCAACAGCTTAATTACCCTTTTTTTCCTTTGTGAATCTGAAAAAAACTTTGGAAGGCGCAGTTTGGCAATGAACAATAGCGTTTCTTTGACAGTCAGGTGGGGGAGCAGTCGGTCATCCTGTCGCACGTGTGCAATGCATTTCTTAACACGCTGGGGAGTGCTGGGTTTGTCATTGATCAGGATTTGACCCGACTTGATTTTGCCTCCGTGATCCCGACAGGTTATCACATCAAGCAGTGATGTCTTTCCACCAGCTAGAAAAATCAAAATTGAAGAATAAATTAATTTCTAGGGGACTAATTTAAGAAGTGATTTAGTCACAGAAATAGATGATAGAAGTTTCAATCCCTTAATCTCCGTTCCCCAACCCTTTCTGAAGCTGTTCTGAAGCCCCAGAGACAGACTGACCCTAAAGGAAAATGCTGACGCTCAACTATAAGCTCATGTTCAGGAAATCTCTTTCAGAATGGAGTACATGGCTTTAACCTTTCTCGTTTCTCAGGAGGATCAGGTCGTTTGCCTTTGATGGTAGCTGTATGACCCGAAAAAGTGATCTCTCTCTCTATATCTTCTAGTTACCTTTCTTCTCTCACCTTTTAAACATAGGTAAAAGGTGATGTCCCGCACTAGCGGTGCTGACTGCAGGGCTGGCACCTGAATGCTTGGTGTGAGCTTGCTTTGTGGAGGGAATTGTGAATTCAGAAACGGCAGCTAGAATGGTTGAAAGACTAAGGTGCAGAACGAGGTGCTTATTGTTTGTACGATTATACAAACAATAAGAATCTTAATAATCATGATTTAAATAAAAAATCATTATGATTTAAATAAGATAAAAAATTGTTTAAATAATTAGGAAAAGCTGCCTCATAGTTAGGGGAAGGAAAGTAAAATCATGAAAACAAAGCCTGATTTGAAATTAAATAGCAAATGCCTTTTTCCCTTATACTATACAAGAGTGTATGTAAACACAGAGAGTTCTCTTATGATTAGATGTCATTTAATTCTAGTCTGTCTGTTGAAAGATTAAATCTACACTTGTTTCTTAATATATACATTTAAAAAAAGGAACCCATCCATCTGTAAACCATGTATTGCTCTGTTTAAGAATGACATATTGATTGCCATTGACAATGTGAAACCCATCAGCAGTTTAATCCATTTTACTAAGGCATTTGGTGAAATAGATGATAAATAGCTTTTAAAAATAGTTTGACTAGTTTGCTGAAAGGGGTTTGTGCTCAGTGTATGTTACCTCACAAAGGTACTGTGTCTACAGCTCAACATGTTATTCCATCATACGCATTTCCTCTTGCTTGTGGGAATCTATAAAGTACAACTTCAATTTCATTGCAGACATGTGCTACGAAAAATTCCCCGTGGTAATGGCAAAAAATCTTTTCATAAACATAAGAGCTAAAACTTCTGCAGTAATTATGTCTCACCTTTCTCTGAGTGAGAATACTTTCACTGAATTACAGCTAATCTGATGTAAGAGTCCAGGGGAGACAAAGACATGGTTTTACCTCCAAACCACAGACACTTTTCAGTGCAGTTTACTTCTTATCCCCCTAGATGAGCTTATTCTCAACTAACTACACAGGTTAGAGGCCATCTCTCCATTAGTCAACCTCACCCTGGAGAAGATTAAATCAGTCCCACCAGAAAATGAAAGAAAAGAGAAAGGAAAGGAAAGGCCTCCTTAAAGTCACTGTAACCAAAACAAAAGAGGAATTTTTTTTTTTCTCCTTATGTTTCTGTTAAGTTAATCTGAATGTGGTCATGTTTGCATCTGAAGGAAATACCTGCTTGTGGGTATACAGGTTGCCACTAATGTTTCTTTCAGGGTCTGGCCAGGGTCTAGTAATGGGGTTAGGTCTGTAACTGGTGTGTTCTGAAGCTGAGCTAAGAGTTGCTTCAGGTCCTCCTGAGCCAGGACTGCAGGCCATGGCTCTAACATTACCCAGCTACGCCTCAAGAAACAAACAGCTAGCAAATGTGCAAGCCATGACAAAAATTGTTTTCCTAAGGAAAATCAGATTTCATTCCATTATGATTCCCTGTATCCTCATACTTTACATTTTAAAGAACATAAGTGATGCGGAAGTGATTTTTGCCATTCAAAAGACTGAAGAGTATTGTTATCAGCTGTGTACGTTTTATCTGAGAGTTGGTCAAATCAAGAAAATTGGTGGTTCTTACCAGTGCTTCCTATAATAGCTAGCATCTGACCACTTTGAACTTTCAAATTCAGATTCTGGATGACCGACACATGAGAATTTGGACCTGAGTTCCAGGTCCATGGCATTTTCATATGTGCTAGTTTCTCATACCAGGGAATCTGAGATGCCATATTAACCTATGATTTAAAAAAAAAAAAGGAAACAAACAAGCCCCTTCCATTAGGACAATGAACTATTTAGCAATAAATACTTTCAAAGTTAAGATGTTACGAAGGAAATAATGCATGGAAATAATATTGTGAATTTTCAGAAATACATGGAAGAAGGTTTTTTTATAGACAAGCATGGTTTCCATGCCTTGTTTCTTATTCCTGTTAATCAGTGAAGCTATCACTATCCTCTACACTACTTAGGTAACTTATTACTACTGTATGTTGTTGACCTGGACATTTTTGGAATCACTTTAACTGAAAATTGAAATACATTTATTTTTCTCTCTTAAAGGCAAATGCTACCTGCTTCATTAGCCCAAATGGCATGTGCAGTTTCTTATCTTTCCAGATTCTATTTTTTGTTGGTAAAGCAATAGGCAGCATTTGTGAATCTACTTCAGATGCTGCGGTGGCACAAAAGAGAAGAAAAACGTCACTAGCCCTCTGAGATTCCTCCTTATGTTTGCCACCCTCCTCCTTTCTCCTCCCACAGGCTGATCTTGCCACCAAAGGCTCCTGCCAGCCCTAGCGGGCAGGAAAGTCTCTCTGCCACAGCTCTCACAGGGACAGAATTTAGCTCAATAATGAGAGAAAACAAAGCCTAGTAACAGACCTCTTTGCCTGCCTTATCCCCTAGCTTTACCAGACATATTTAGCCTGCAGTCAATAGCTGCAGCTAAAAACATGAATTTGCTCTCTTTACACACACAAAACTTCTGCATAGTTGACTGTGCAAAAGTTGTGTGAACCCAATGTTGTGAACTTCAACCTTGCGCTGCTTTTAAAGTGGCTTACAAACAGAAGCAGGATATTGCTGGATTTACTCCATGTTAAAGGGAAGTAAATAAAGTAGAACTTTACCTGGTAGTTGAGTTCTCTGACCTCAAGAACGTTTGCTTTTCCACTGTACGTGAAATACAGGCTGTTATCTTCTTCAGAGCAAAAAATACTGTCTTGGACGTTTGTCTGGAGAAATTATTATTGGGTTAATTACAATAGCTAAGGTGCTGTTAGAATTTGAGTTCAGAAAAAAGAGAAACAGAAAGGGAACTACATTTAATGAGGTGTAACAGTGCTGTTGATGTAAGTTACCGTGGAGCAAAACTGTAAAGGGTTGAAATGTGCTATTTCTTAAGCAATGTGAAAGGTACTTTGTTCTAGAGGCATGCGAGAAGGCCAGACATGCTGTGCTATGGTTTTCTATTTAATTTTGATTTAAATGGGATTATTTTCAAAATGGAGTTAAACTATATTTCATTCTACTAAAATGCGATTCTATTTCTATTTTGGAGGAAAATTATCTACTTCTGGAATGGTAACGTGTACTAGATCAAAATGATACGTATTGAAATTCCTAAGTTACGGCAGCCAAAAATTAAGGTCCACTGAAAGTATGTTCATTGTTGAATTAAACCATGCTGCAGCACAGGGGCCTGAAGCAGCTAATTCGCCATTGTACAGGCAGAGAAGATCATTCGCTCATGGCTATCCTGTCAAACAGTAAATGGCAGCTGCATATGGTGACCGCTCAGTAACAAAAAGTTCATCCTACTCAAAACAAGGAATTTAACTGACCAATATATCTAAACACCCACAAGCCTCGCTAAAATCTCTGCTGAATAAACGTCTTGTAAAGTAACGGGGAAAGGGTATATTAGCCTGAGTCAAACATTAGAGACCGTCCTAATCCTCGCGTCCTCGGCCGTGTCGGGGGAGCGCAGCTCTCCCAGTGGTTCACAGTGTGGGTTCTGCTCTCAGCCCGGTCACCGCGTGCCTCTGCCCTTCCCTCCCTTCAGCATCCCGGCTTCACTGCAGCTGAGCTCCTGGCACATGGACTCGGAGGCCTGGCAAGCAAGCCCCTGTGCCGTCATCACTACCGGCTCTTTTTCTTCCGCTTTGTTTTTTTTTTAATTCACAGTTGGCGCTTGTCAGCTGGAACCTGGTGTTCCCACAGATGAGTTAAAATGACAAAAGGTTGACATGGCTCGATTTAACTTTTTGCGCGTAGCTTGAGTTAAGTCGTCTTTGCTGTGTTCGGGCAGCTTTCTGACTTTGGCTTTAACTCTGTGTGCGTGCCTGCAGATTTTATCCCAGGCCGACGGTCATATCTCTGCCCAGAGCCTCACGCTTTTCCTGCAAGCCGAAGGCCCGTTTCTTAGCCACTGCGAATGCACCTGTGTGCATCCGTCCATGCCCCTATCAGCTTTGGCATACCAAAGGTGACCAAAACCACTGTCAGTGCTTCCTACGTTCGTGGCAAACCAGCCTGAGGTAGTCTTTTGGGTCTGAGCTAAGCAGCAGAGAGCGACACCGCACAAAGCGGTCTGAGAAGTAACGCGGAAGGCAGCGGGCGGCAGCCGGGCGGTCAGCCCCCAGCAAACGTGGGCGGCGGACGTGCACGCCCCAAGGCACCCCCTGGGATGGAGC